ATTAGAGCACGTTTTTCTAATGCCATCTTTTTCAGGGCTCTTAAACCGAGTCTATCCCAGGACTTGGCATGGCGCTATCAGATGACATATACCAGGTGGCTCATATTTTTCCTTCACAACATGTAAATGACATTCATACAGCACAGGCTATAAATATTCTACCCAATCAGTTCTGACTGAACAAGCAAATGTTTGCTTATGTCTCTGTCTACAAAAGTTTTGGCCAAGACAGATTGTCTAAGAATCTATATGTTTTCTGAAGTGGGCAGTGGATACTGTCAGGTTGTTAAATAGTTGTATCGCATGATAGCTGATGGCTCATCTTTTACATTCAGAAACCCGCATAACTCCATGAAGATATTATTGCAGGGTTCTTTATCACTCGCTTGCCTGATAACTTGAAAAATTGCTCTGGGTGGAAAATATCCATAAATTTTAAAAGGCAGTCTCCCTAAGAGCCACACATAGTTCGCATTCCATTTCTAAATAGCAAGATCACATTAAAACTCAAAAATAGATAACATTAGTCACAGTAATTCAAATAACTACTCCTTAGGCCTAGCAGGGAACCTTGAGAGCTTTGAGCATTACTCTTGGCTCTTTCTTTTTCTTTTTCTTTTTTTTTTTTTTTTTTTTTTTTTTTTCTCGATTAGATTCTGGCAGGGCAGAAGGAAGAATAAAGTATGCTTGGAGATGGGGGTGGGGAGTGGAGTTGATAACAGTGATTAAAGTTAGGGAGAACCTCAGGAAATTTGTGACCGTCCTGCCTTCTACTTGCCCACTTAAAAACCCTTCATTCTATAGTCATACTCAAGCCATTTTTGATTATAGCTGTGGTGGGAATGGGTATCTTGATGGGACTGTGTCAATTTTATGGAGGGATGGAAGCAAGGACAAATAATAACTGCTGGAATAACAATCATCCTGCACATCACAATTTGCAGCTTACAAACGCTGCTAACCGTATGATCTCAGTTGTTATTTCCCAAAGGACAAAGGTTACTAATATTATTGTCCTTCAGCCGGCGCTGCAGCTCACATAGCTAATCCTCCGCCTGCGGCGCCAGCACCACGGGTTCTAGTCCCGGTTGGGGTGCCAGATTCTGTCCCGGTTGCTTCTCTTCCAGTCCAGCTCTCTGCTGTGGCCTGGGAAGGCAGTGGAGGATGGCCAAAGTGCTTGGGCCCTGCACCTGCATGGGAGACCAGGAGGAAGCACCTGACTCAGGCTTCAGATCGGCGCAGCGCCGGCCATAGCAGCCATTTGGGGGGTGAATCAATGGAAAGGAAGACCTTTCTCTCTGTCTCTCTCTCCCACTGTCTAACTCTGCCTGTCAAAAAAAAAATATATTATTGTCCCTCATTACTTCTTTTTTCAAAAGATTTATTTATTTATTTATTTATTTATTTATTTATTTGAAAGTCAATGTTAGAGAGAGAAGGAGATGCAGAGAGAGAGAGAGAGGGGTCTTCCATCCATTGGTTCACTCCCCAATTGGCCTCAATGGCCAGAGCTGCACCAATCCAAAGCCAGGAACCAGGAGCTTCTTCCGGGTCTCCCATGTGGGTACAGGGGCCCAAGGACTTGGGCCATCTTCTACTCCTTTCCCAGGCCACAGCAGAGAGCTGGATCAGAAGTGGAGCAGCCAGGCCTTGAACTGGTGCCCATCTGGGATGCTGGCACTGCAGGCGGAGGCTTCACCCCCTATGCCACAGCGCTGCCCCCTCCCCCATGACTTCTAATGAATGTGAATCCCAGAGGATTTAAGGTGGTTCTGAATAATCACACAGCTAGTCTGTGATAGAGCTTTAACTCAGACCACAGTTTTTTTACTTCCTATGATCTCTACCTTACCGTGCAGCCTTTCAAACCTTCAGGGAACATTGGATCAAGAATGAACGTGGGCATGAAACTTAGTCAGTATGCGAGGGAAAAAAAAGACTCTTTGGATAGGAAAAGTGGAGAAATGAGATGTAGCCTAGCGGAAACCCAAATGGCCAATAAGCATATGGAAAGATGCTCACTCTCCTTAGCATTCTGAGAAAAGCAAATTAAAGTCATAATCACACCCAATAGATGTGCAAAATTTAGGTCTGAGAATACCAAACATTGTGTCAAATTGGGAACAGCGAAAGTTCTGGAACACCACCAGTGGAAATGGAAATGCCATGACAGTTTGTAGGTCATGTGTCATTATCTAAAAAAGAGGTACATGGCCTGTGCCCAGCAATTCTGTGCCAAGATACATACTTCAGAAAAATTCTCCCCTTTGTGCACAAGAGCCATGGAAGGAGTTGTCTTTAATAACCAAAAATTTGTAAGAGTCCTCATATTCATTAACAGAAGAATGAATAAATGTTATTATATATGAATGTAACCATCCAATAAATCACGTACTTCATGAAAATCAATGAACTTATGGTACAAACATCAAAATAGAGCATTACCACAAATATATTTTGAGGGAAATTACAGAATACTAAAATGGAGGACATTTATAAAATGTTTAAAAATGCAAAACATTTTTCAAGGATTATTAATATTCTGATATTAAATACTATTTAGAGATGCAATTTCATGGGAACCTAAAAGATAAAGTACTGGTAAATAGAAACGTCAAATGCAGGACAATGGTGACCTTGTAAATGACAAAGTGGGAATACAAGTAGGGGGAGTTGTGTTAACCAAGGCAGTTTCAAAAACTAGGAGCAGTGGTGTAAGCATTAGTTCAGATGGTGGTATATAGGGATTGACTAATCTTACAACCTTTGAAGTGTCTGAAATATGTCGTGATAAAGTAGAAGAATTAGAACAAAAAGAGTCTACATGAATACGACACTTCTCTGGGACTCTAGGAATAACAGAATTGATTAAAAATGAGTCCAGGCCAGTGCTGCGGCTCACTAGGCTAATCCTCCGCCTTGCGGCGCCGGCACACCGGGTTCTAGTCCCGGTTGGGGCGCCGGATTCTGTCCCGGTTGCCCCTCTTCCAGGCCAGCTCTCTGCTGTGGCCAGGGAGTGCAGTGAAGGATGGCTCAAGTCCTTGGGCCCTGCACCCCATGGGAGACCAGGATAAGTACCTGGCTCCTGCCATCGGATCAACACGGTGCGCTGGCTGCAGCACGCCGGCCGCGGCGGCCATTGGAGAGTGAACCAACGGCAAAGGAAGACCTTTCTCTCTGCCTCTCTCTCTCACTGTGCACTCTACCTGTCAAAAAAAAAAAAAAAAGAGTCCAAAGCATCCCCAGCTGCCCCAGGTTGATGGAGAATCCTAATCTCAGAGAGGGTTTGCCCATTCCAACTCAGTTTTGAGTCCTGGCCCAATGGCCCAGCCATCGCACCAGCACCCTGTCTGATAAACATAATGGAGGGGTGAAGTTTCATCTGACCAGTCACATGGGCTGTCACATTTTCTGGAGGCAGACATAACCTGGATCCCAGGAAAGGCTTGATTGTCTTTTCTGGCCATTCCTTTACCACTTTCAAACAGGTCTCTTGCATTTGGAAAGAGGGATTGTTAAGCCAGTGCCATTAAGGACACCTTACTTAGGACCGTTTTATGCATATATTTATTTTTTTTACAGGCAGAGTTAGACAGTGAGAGAGAGAGAGACAGAGAGAAAGGTCTTCCTTCCGTTGATTTACCCCCCAAGTGGTTGCTATGGCCGGTGTGCTGCGGTCGCTGCACTGTGCCGATCCGAAGCCAGGAGCCAGGTGCTTCCTCCTGGTCTCCCATGCGGGTACAGGGCCCAAGCACTTGAGCCATCCTCCACTGCCCTCCCGGGCCACAGCAGAGAGCTGTTTTTAAGTGCCTTAAGTGGAGAAATTATTTCATAGCCTATACCTACAACTACAACAACAACAAAAAACCAGCAATATGTTTAACTCTCAGAGTTCATCTCTGCTTTTTCATTTTTGGTGTTTGCAATCTTGATGGGCAAGTCCAAGAATGAAATTCCCAGCCATTTGCACTATCCATTGCAGAATTATCCTGGTCAGTTGGTGTCTCTTGAGCCACTCCTTTGACAACCTGTGAAAGCATGTCTTTACATTCCTCGTAGGTGCCTCAGCAAGGACAAGCACAATCACAATTTGCAAATTCAATTTTCAAGCACTGTGGTTTGTGAGGATAAAAATACCAATCCATGATAGAACAGTTCTCCAAAAATAAAAGTTATTCAGACATAATTGAAATTTTTAAAAACAATTATCTCAGACAACCACATCTTTTTGCATTTTAAGGAGGAAAATTTGTTATTCTGAATATCTTGTATGATGAATAATTTGCACTCAAAGCATTTCTAATAGCATAAAGTCACCTTCTAGCCAGCAGAACCTTGCAAACAATCCGTTGGGAGAGGACGAATGCCCTCACTGAAAATAATCAGAGAAACAGAAGCTTCCCTACGCTCAGAGGATGACCTGATGGCAGCTTCCTATTTGAAATCCAGGGTCTCAAATCTCCTCCATCCTGTTTTCCCAACAATGTTAATAATGGCCTCCATTCATTGAGCAGTCACCATGGGTCAGGCACTTTGCCGAAGCACTTTTCCTGCATTATTTCATGTCCTCCTCATTAACAACTTCATAAATAATGAAGTGTCATACCAGAAACCCCATGTACCAGGTCTTGCGTTTTCATCCAAAACCCATAACTACGTCTCAACAATTTTAAATTTCTACTGACTTGCATTGGAGATGGAAGTAAAGATGAAGAAGCAGCATGGGTAGTGTGCTTCTCAATATGAAGTCGTTTCTGAACTTCAAGAATAACCAGATAATCGCTTTTTTTTTTCAGTGTTTGATCATTATATTTGTTGGCAGACCTGGTGTCTCCTTGAATCACCTACAGTGAATCTAAGTATTATTCTAATTGATTTTCTCACTGCTTACTGAGAAATAGAGCACCTCTTTCACTAGTCTCATAAATAATTCCATTTCTCTATGTCAACGTTAATTGAACTTACCTCATGTTGTCAATCTCTTTCTCTTTCCCTTGCAGGTGATGTCATTGTCTATATTAACGAAGTTTGTGTCCTTGGGCACACTCATGCGGATGTTGTCAAACTTTTCCAGTCTGTTCCTATTGGTCAGAGTGTCAACCTGGTGTTGTGTCGTGGCTACCCTTTGCCCTTTGACCCTGAGGATCCTGCTAACAGCTTGGTGCCACCCCTTGCAATAATGGAGAGGCCACCTCCAGTGATGGTCAATGGAAGACATAACTATGAAACATATTTGGAATACATTTCTCGGACCTCACAGTCAGTTCCAGATATAACAGATCGGCCGCCTCAATCTTTGCACTCCATGCCAGCTGACGGTCAGCTAGATGGCACGTATCCACCACCCGTCCATGATGACAATGTGTCTATGGCTTCGTCTGGGGCCACCCAAGCTGAACTTATGACCTTAACCATTGTGAAAGGTGCCCAGGGCTTTGGCTTCACTATTGCTGACAGTCCTACAGGACAGCGGGTGAAACAAATACTGGACATTCAGGGATGCCCTGGACTGTGTGAAGGCGACCTCATTGTCGAGATCAACCAGCAGAATGTACAGAACCTGAGCCATACAGAAGTAGTGGATATACTGAAGGACTGCCCCGTTGGAAGCGAGACTTCCTTGATCATCCATCGAGGAGGTAAGAAACATTGGCCCAGCAATTAAATATATAGACAAAATAGTAGGATCTTTACCATAATTCTGTTAAAATGGAGGTCTTTTGGGAGTGGAATTAAATCAGACTTTTGAAAATAAAGGTAAAGTAATAAGAAAGAAAAACGTGAGTACAGGAAGCTGTTCTGAATTTTGAGAATATGTCTCTTCCTGTTTTACATTACATATAATAATGACAGTGCTTTCAGTCATAGAAACATGATGGTATGACTTGGAGAGTAACAGCTGAATTCCCCAACTAAGAATGTGTTCTGTTTCAAAAGTGTGCTTTGGGGTGGGCATTTAGCCTAGAAGTTAAGATACCTGTGTCCCATATCCAAATACCTGAGTTCAATTCCTGGTTCTGGTTATTGACCAGCTACCGGCCAGTGCAGATCCTGGGAGGCAGCAGGTGATGGCTCAAGTAGCTGGATTCCTGTCACCCATGTGGAAGACCTGGAATGTGTTTCCAACTCCTGGCTTCAGCCGGCCCAATTCCTCTTTGAGTAATGAATCAATAGATGGGAATTCTTCCTCTCTCTCTGTCATAAAAAAATTAATTAATTAATGTATCAGTTCTGAAGAACTCAAACTGATTCACTCCTATTTTTTAAAACAAAGATTTATTTTATTTTTTTGAAAGACAGAGTTACAGAGAGAGGTAAAGCCAGAGAGAGAGAAGTCTTCCATTCCATTGGTTTGCTCCCCAAATGACCAATAGCAATGGCCAGAGCTGAGCTGATTCGAAGCCAGGAGCTTCTTCTGGGTCTCCCATGCCGGTGCAGGGGCCCAAGAACTTGGGCCATCTTCTACTGATTTCCCAGGCTGCTGCTCCTCCGCACGCGGAGGAGCCGCACCGGACCGGGCGCTTGTTGTTCCCTTTTTTTACAAGTCCTTTCTATAGTAAAGTAAGAATAAGTAAACAGCAAACTCCCAAAGCAAGAATGAGTAGAGAGAAATGAGAAAGAACGAAGTAACGAACTTCCCCGCGAACTCTCCAACGCACTCTCCAACCAACCCACACCACCATGCCGTCTCTCTCCTCCTATATAGTCCTCTCCACCAATCCCAACTCGGCTGCCCACACGCCGAGCACGCCGCTCTCCTCCAATCAGGAGCAGCTCCTGCAGCTTGTCAAGTTGGTGAGAGACAGCTGGGTAGAAGCTGTTTACTTCTCTCCCAGCGCCATATTGTGGGAGAGCAGATGCATAGAATAAATCTTAATTCCAGTAACAGTATAGTCCGAATTGCTCCCCACACCAGGCCATAGTAGAGAGCTGGATCTGAAGCAGAGCAGCCAGACTGCAACCGGCACCCATATGGGGTACTGGCACTGCAGGCTGGGGCTTTAACCTGCTGCTCCACAGTGCTAGCCCTTGGTTCACTATTGATTTCACTAAGAAACCTGCTGTGTTTTGAGTTGTACTTAGAATTCCAGGCTAGCAGGTGGAAACTGGTTCAACCTCTGCAACCTTAGTACAGTCCTTATAATGCCCATGGCGCACTGGGAGCTGTGCAGCTGTATAAATGCCATCTCGGAGTTCTGAGTAGAATTCTCCAGAATGAATTTTCTGCTGCTTCAGCAGTAGTTACCTAAGGTGTCTCCCATGACCTGGGAAGAAAGTCACTTAATGGGGTCAGAGCCGGGCCTAGTGTTCTGGATTGAAGTATGGCAATGGAGACCATGAGACAGGGGGAGAAGCCCTGAGCCTTGGGTCTTTCTTTCTCTGTGCCATCTCTATGGGAAGAGAATGGTGCACAGCAGAGAGTCCTCTTCCCCACTGCTCTGCGCTTGAATCTCAGTGAAACTAGGGAGAGGGAGGAGGGAAGGAACCATGACGAAAAGGATGCTCCAAAACAGAGTGTAAAGGAAAAGGTGCGAGCTAAGTCCTGGTTTTCCCACTCGGTCATTTGGAGACAGGACAGGTCCTGGAGCCTCAGCCTTCTTATCTGTGGCTCTGGGATATTAACACTACCTAACTGTGGTGGTGTTTGTGGTATTGAGTGGCCCAGATCAGGGTTTCACTGAATTTCTGTGGAGCTGAAGTGAACACAGAAGCCACGGCCAGGACAGGTCAAAAGGAGCAGTGCTGGGAGGAACTCGTGCATGAGGAACACGAGGCAAACCCATGTGATTGCCTATTCAGAGCCCTCAAAGCAGCATGAGAGTCCTCTCGGTGTGAAATGGAAGTGAAAACAGTCAAAGCTGAAAGAAGCGCCATTCCTGGTATATTTGTTTCTTTTTAGGTGTGTTTCCCTCTTAAGGAACTATTACATTATTTATTCCTTGCTTGAAAAGGGACCCAAAAAAGCAGGCATTTGTAAGCAGCATATACAAAGTATTATGTTCCTATATTAAAAAGGGAAATTAATATGATGGCAAAGCAATCTTAAATTTGACCTTCTCGAGTCATTGTTACAAAAGAGCACTTGAACTGCAATAATTAAATGTTGGCAGATTTCCTTAATTTCTGCCATTATTTGTTTAAGATTAAAAACAAATATTCCTAATTAAATAGTCATATGTTCATAATACCAATTGAAAATCAAATCTTGGGGACAGATTCTTGCTTTTAAAAGGTACAACTGAAAATCACTGCAGTAATATCCACTGTATGATTTGTAGAAACAAATTTGGACACATTTTTATATATAATGGCTTCTTTTTAAAAGCATAGCCTAGCAGGGTAATGTACTGTGAGATCCTTCATTTGTATTATTACAATTTGTGCATTTCTGAAAATGTTGAATGCACACCTGCTCTCAGCTAGACTACCCTGTTCTCATTCACTTGCTCTCTGGTCCTCTCTCTCTTTTGCTCTCATTTAAACATCAAGTAAGCAAAGTTTTGTTTGCATTTTATTTGTGTTTTGGAATGAGGGACTTGCTTTTACTTTTTGACTAGTGTAGAATGCAGAATGTAGCACCCTGTGATGCTTAAAGAACTTCTTGTCAAAAGCTTCTTGAGTTTCCCAAATTCCTACAATTTGCACTCTTCTGTCTGAAATTAATAGGAACTAGTGCTATGTTTTTGTGATGAGATTCACTTTGATTATCTTACTTTAGACAACTCAGAAGTGCTTATGACTTCATTCAGATAAGCCTAGATCTTCAAGAGCAGAATCACAGACTTGAGTGCTTAGATCAGGACCATGGTTGTTTTAAATTATTTATGAGGATTTTTTATTTACAAAGTAATAATGTTCATCATTTCTTCTTTAAAGCAAATGATGTCAGAGTCTACAATGAAAAATAATCCTCTGTCCTATCTCCTAGTTTCAGTCTTTCCAGAGGCAAGCATGTTTTGTGTTTATATTCCAGGAAGTTTCTAGTCTGCAAACACGTACAATATGATTATATTAATTAATTTATGAATATATTTATTAATGAATTTATGAATATACCTATGAAAAGTAGTAGATTTAATGTAGATAAGATGATATTATACATACACATACCTTTCTTTAAAATATCTTAGCTATTAAGGTGAATTTAATTTTTTCAAAAAATATCATGTGGCATAAGTTACATGCCATGAAATTAATCAGTTGTAAGTAGATAACTCATTAAGTTTTGTTACAGTGATCCAATTCTGTTTCGCTCACCAGATTCCTTAGAACAATCTGATCTCTCCTAGATCTAGCCCCAGCTACCCACTAATCTGCCTTCTTAATAGTTTTGCTTTCCTAGAATTTTTTCAATGAATGGAACTATACAAGGTGTAGTATTTTACCTAGCATATTGCTATTGAGAGTTAGCCAGCAGGTGCTAGGATGGGGTAGCTTGTTTTCTTTTATTCTGTTGTATGGACTTTTTTTGGTCACCATTGGATGGACATTTGAATTATTGCCAGTTTGGAGCATTTAGGAGTCATATTGGTGTGACTATCTGGATACAAGTGTCTATGTGTGCCTATGATTTCATTTTTCTCGGGTAGATTATTTATTTAAACTGTTAAGAAATTGTCAGAATGTTTCCCGAAATGACTATACCATTACCATGTTTTGAATTGTACTTAGAATCCCTAGCAGCAAAGCATAAGGTTTCCAATTTCTCCCCATTGTTTCTCACACTTAATATAATCAGTCTTTTTTATTAAAGTCATGCTAGTGAGTGTGCCATGACACCTGTTTATGGTTTTAATTTACATTTCCTTAATATTTTCATGTGTTTCCCTATTTTATTGTTTACTATCATTCAGATTTCTTCTTTGGTAACATGTCTTCATTCAGATATTTTGCTTATTTGTATATTGGGCTGCTTTTCTTTTTTTTAAGATTTTATTTTATTTATTTGAGAAGTAGAGTTACAGACAGAGAGGAGAGGGACAGAGACAAAGGTCTTCCATCCACTGGTTCACTCCTTAAATGGCTTTAATGACTGAAGCTGAAAATATGTGAAGCTAGGAGCCAGGAGCTTCTTCCCAGTCTCTCACGTGGATGCAGGGGCCCAAACACTTGGGCCATCTTCCACTGCTTTCCCAGGCCATAGTAGAGAGCTGGAGTGGAAAAGGAGAAGCTGGTACACAAACCGGCAAAAATATGGAATGCTGGCACCACAGGTGGAGGCTTAGCCTACTACACTACAGCGCCAGCCCCCTGCTTTTCTTCTTATTAAGAATTCTTTATAGATTCAGAGTATGAATCATTTATATATTCTCCTGGTCTGTAACTTGTCTTTTCATTTTCTGAATGATGCCTTTCAAAGCACAATGTATATGATTTTGATTGAGTCCGACTTATCAGTTTTCTTATACAGATCATTCTTTTGGTGTTATATTTAAGAAATCTTTTCTAACTCAAGGTTACAAGAGTTTTTCTCTTTTTTTAACTTTTATTTAATAAATATAAATTTCCAAAGTACAGCTTTTGGATTACAATGGCTTCTCCCACCCCATAGCTTCCCTCCCACCCACAACCCTCCCATCTCCCGCTCCCTCTCCCATTCCATTCACATCAAGATTCATTTTCAATTATCTTTTTTTTC